GATACCTTTTACTTTTGCCTGAAAGACTTCTTATAACATTTCTTATCATGCAGATCTTCTAGTAATGCATTTTTTGGACTTTCACGTGTCTGGAAAAGTTTTTACTTCACCTTTCATTTTGAAAGATACTTTTACTGGATACAGAGTTCTCGGTTAGCCATTTTTTTCCCCTTTCAGTTCTTTGAAGATTTGATCCAATGTCTTCTAAACAACGTGGATTATACCATCATCATATCATAGTATTTGTTCCACTGCATGTATCCTTTTTCCATGGCTACCATTAGGATCTTTATGACTTGCTCTAAGCAATTCGATTATAATGTTTCTTGGAATAGTTTTCTTCATGTTTCTTGTGCACCCTGTTCATCAAGCTTTGTAGATCTGTGGACTTAGTTTCCATCAAATTTGGAAAATTTTAGCCATTTTTGGCCATTTCTCTAATAAAAGTAAATTCGGGCCATCAGGGAGCATGGAGGTTAAGGTGGCTGGATCCCACATGGCCAACTGTGCAGTTCACATTGTGAACCTAGTAGCTTGACAATCACGCAGGGCACATGTGCATGTGTGCCAAAACCCCAAGGAGAAAAGTGGAGGAGAAGGGATTGTGGCAAGGCCATTCCCCTGGGAGGTAGAGATAATCTCTCTCTATATATGGTGAGCACATATGCTCTATACACAATAAAAGTACATTTTATTATATATATATTTTTTTAATAGAAATTTTTAATATAGGGGTCGTGTGCTTACTAGAGAGACAGACAGAGACAGACAGTGAGAAATCACCCCTCAGGAGGGGTGGCCACACCACAATCCCTTCTCCTCCATTCTCCTCTCGGGATCTTGGGCTCACACACATACGCGCCCAGCCCGAGTTTTAAGCTGCCAGGCCCAAGACATGAACCACGGTTGACTATGAGGGAGTCCAGCAACATAACCATTATGCCATCTGTTGGTCCCTTGTTGTGTTATTTGAGATTTATACCATCATATTATGGGGCATATACAGATGACAAAATAATTATTCTACAGTGAATTAAATTAACATACCTCTCAGCTCACATAGTTCCTTGGTTTATGACAAGAGCAGTTAAAATCTAGTTATTTAACAGAACCTCTCATACAATACAATTTCATTAACTATAGTCTTCGCATTGCTTATCAGATCTTTGGACCCAGTCATTCATCTCTTACTTTGCGTTCTCTGACCTGTACCTCCTCATCCTCTCCCCTCACTCCACTCTACCTCCAATAACTTCTGCTTTATTCTCTAACTCTGTACATGGATCTTTATTTTTCAATTCTACCAATTAGTGAAATCATACGATAACTGTCTTTCTGGTTTCATTTAGCAGCATACTGTCCTCCAGGTCTATCCATGTTGTGGCATGTGGCAAAAACTCCTTTCTTCAGGCTGAAAAATAATCCCACTGTAGACACACACACATTGCATTTTCTTTCTCAAATTCTCCACTGATTATGCACACTCAGATTACTTCCATATTTTGACTACTGCAAATAATGCTACAGTGAACATAGGAGTACAGGTATCTTTACAAGGTGGTGACTTTATCTCTTCGGTACATATCCTGAAGAGGGACTGCTGAATCATATGGCAGTTCTATTTTTAATTTATTCAGATACCTCCATACTGTTTTCTACAATGGCTGTACAAATCTATATTCCTACTAACAGCATCCTGGAGTTTTTCATTACCACACCCTTACTAACACTTATCTCTTTTTTTTTTTTTTTTTGGAGAGGATTTTGCTATAGGGCGTGTGCGCTCACCAGACAGACAGAGAGAGACAGAGAGACAGAAAGCAGGAAATCACCCCACAGGGGGGATGGCCACACCACAATCCCTTCTCCTCCATTCTCCTCTCGGGATCTTGGACACGCACGCACACGCACCCGGCGTGAGTTTAAGCCACCGGGTCCAGGACGCAAACCACGGTCGACTACATGGGAGTCCAGCGACATAGCCACTACACTAACTGCTGGTCCCACACTTACCTCTTTTTGATAAAAGCTATTCTAACAGCTGTGAGGTGTGTTTCATTTGTGTTTCCCTGATGATTAGTGATGGTGAGCATCTTTTCATATACCTGTTGGTCTTTATTTTTTTTAGGTTTCTGCCATAGGTCGCATGCTCTCACCAGAGACAAGGAAAAAGGGAAAGTGAGATACCCAGCCTTCAGGGGGGATAACCACACCACAATCCCTTCTCCATTCTTCTCTCAGGATTTTGGGTATGTATGCACACACATCTGGCATGATTTTCAAGCCACCAAGTCTGGAACTTGAACCACAGTCAACCACATGGGAGTCCAGCACCTTAACCACCAAGCCACCTGCTTCCTCGCCACCATTGGTAATTTTTATGTCTTCTTTGGAGACATGCCTATTCATATCCTTTGCCTATTTTTAAAATTAGGTATGTGTTTTTTCTTTCTCTCTTTCTTTTTTCTCCAACTTGTCAAAGAGTGTGTTCACTCACCAGAGAGAGACAGAGTTAAAGAGAAGGGAAAAGCTCCTCCCAAATGAGATGTGGTCATAACCACAATCCCTTCTCCTTCATTTTTCTATTCTGTTGAGATTTTGAGCATATACACACACGTAACCATCATGTATGAATCCCAGGGCTGGGATTCAAACTGCAGTCAGCCATGCCAGATATGGCTGCCTTAACCACCAGGTCATAGGGCTGGCCCACTAATATGTTCTTCTACTATTGAGTTGTAAGAATTCCTCATAAATGCTGGGTATTAAACCCCTTCTCAGCTATGCATTGGTAATTTTTTCCCCAGTACACTGGCTGTCTTTTCATGTTGTGGCCGTTTCTTGTTGTGCAGAAACTTTATAATTTGGTGTAATACTATTTACTTTTGCTTTTGCAGCTTGAGATTTTGGTCCAGTATCCAAAATATCATTGCCAAAGCTAATGTTAATGAGCTTTACCTACTATGTTTTCTAGAAGGTTTGTGGTTTCAGGTCTTATATTTAGATATTTTATCCATTTTAAAGTTTTCTGTTTGCTTGTGTGTGTGTGTGTGTGTGTATAGTGTAGTGTAAGCTAAGGGTTCAATTTCATTTTCTTGCATGTGGAAATCTAGTCTGGATTTATTTCTGGGCTATGTTAATTGGTCTATATTTGTCTTTATGTATACTATACTGTTTTGATGATTATAGCTTTGTAGTATAATTATAAACCAGGAAGTATGATGCCTTTTCTTTTGTTTTTCTCATTATTACTTTGGTGATCATTTCTTTAATTCTTTCTTCCATTTGTCCCCTTCTTCCTTTGAGAATTTCATGTAGCATAGTTCTTATTCCTATGTATTCAAGGGCACTTCTACAGTATCTGATCTGCCATTAATCCTGTCCAGTGTATTTTCCACCTCATAAAAACTGAAGTTTTCATCAGCTTGATTTATATCCTTTAATATATTCAAAGCCTCTAAGTAACATGTTTGATCATTCCTTTAGCTTCCTAGGCATACAGAAGTTCATTATAATAATTCCTTCAGTATTCTTTTTTGTTGTTATTGCCAGAAGGCATACACACTCTAAGAGAGACACAGTGAGAGAGTGTACCCCCTCACACCCATAAGTTGTGGTTATGCCACAATCCTTTTTCCTCCCTTTCATCAGGATTTGGGGCACATATGCATGCACACGTATCAGTGTGTTTTTCAAGCTGCTTGGTCTGGACATGAACCATGGTCAGCCATGAGGGATCTAGTTTCCTATACAAGACTTAATCACTGTGCTATAGGGGCAAATAATTCTTTTAATATTCTTATCCACTAATCTACCATCTGTGTCATCTTCCTGCTTCACTGCTTGTCAGATTAGTTTTTATTTGGGGTCAGATATTATTAATTTTACTTTTTAAAAAAATTTATTCATGATAAAGTAGTTTAATATTTATTGTTTAATTAATCTACATTTCATATTAAAAACAGCAATGGTTGAATGGAATTATATCTCTCCTAACATTGCAGGTGCTGTGACTCCTATGCTTTGAAAAAAACAACCTATTACTAAAGACCTACTTGGAAAATTCAAAACCATTTCAGGATCAAAGTTATTTCAGCATGTTTACTGTCACCCAATTTTACCTTTATAAGGGTAACAAAATCAGAAGAACTCAGCATAAACACCCCCGAATTAACAACTTTAAACCATGACCTATTAACTTTTATTTAGAGTCAAATCTTTGAGTCCATTTATTCATCTGAAATTAGCAGAAAATAATATCAGAGTTACTTCCTTAAGCTGGGCGTCTTATGTATCTTGAGAAGGTAAATTTGAAAGGACTGACTAAACGTGAAAAATGTAGACCCTGTAGCGTAGTAGCTGAGCAAGCCAGATCCTGCATAGCTGACTGCAGTTTGAGTCCTAGCCCTGGCAGCTTGAAAAACACACCAGGTGTGCAAACCTCAACAGGCTGGTACTACTGCAGGGATTCTTTCTCTCGCACAAACGCTTTTTTCTCTCTCTTTCTCTCTGGTGAGTGCACATGATCTCTGGCAATTAAAATTAAAAAGGGAAAAAAACCATATGATAACAATGGCATGCAAAACAGAAAATGCCAGCTCCCAAGATGGAAAGTTGACATTTGAAAATGGTTGTTCTTTTTTGCTTGTGGCCTGGCTGCCGTGTCTTAGGGCCTTTCTGGTCCCAGGTGGATGTGTAAGTGAAACAATTTGGGTACATTCTAAGCTTAGCTGTTTATGAAGACATCGATGAGCACATGTTCAGAGAGGTACTCCACCCCCACTTCATGACATCGTGAGGAACCCAGAAAACTGCTTCTGTAAAAATCTCCCTCAACAAACAAAATATCAGACCTTCATAAAAGGATGCTTCTGACAATAAGCATTAACTTGGAAGAGTTCTGCGTGGAGACTGAAAGTGAGGCGGTGGTGGTGGTGGTGGTGGGATGGACAAAACTCCAGCATCTTGCCTGTGAGAAAACTCTAGAAGTGCATACTTACACTGCATGGATTGTTGGCCATCTGGGCTGGGCTGTAGAAGGACCCCCACTGGGTGGCTCGCCTCTCTTCCCGGGAAGGGGTGCTGTTCACAGGCAGGCCACCTGGGACCCCAGGGCCCGCACCCGTGGTGTCAGAGGGCTGGCTGCTGGGCGCCACGAGGGCAAAGGCGTCGTCCAGGAGGGAGTGCATGGTCTGGCGTGCCTCCTCGATGGACGGCTGGGGCGGGATGTACTGGGAGGATGGGAAGGGCAGGACTGGATACCTCCCCAGCTCAGCCGAGGACGGTGTCTGCACATCTGCTGGGAGGTCAGGGTCGGACTGCAGAGTGGGAAATGACAAAGGAGAGGAGAATCACACAAGAGCTGTTGGAGCGATCCTCACACAAACACCCAGGGCCAAAATGTAATTTAATGATCTTCCAGACACTGAGGGAAAAATGTCAAAGAATTGAAAAGTGAAAGCTGAGGAATATGCCTTACATTTCATGGGAGATAAAGGCTTGAATTGGGAAAAAAAAGAAAAAAGTGGAACTATTCAACAATCACATTGCAGTGACACTGAACCGTCTAAAATGCATTTCAGTACCTGGGAGCATACTTTTTTTTTTTTTTTTTTATCATTAGCCTCTAAGCAGCCAAAAACCATGTTTCAAAGTGTATATACTAACAAAACAAAACAAAAACCTGGTCAATCTTTCATGATACAGAAACCAAAAGCAAAGCAATCTATCGACTACTCTCAATAGACAAAAAAACACCCCTGTATACCCCTACAAGACATCAAAGTCACCACCATCTTAAAACTTGGTGCATATATAAACAATTACAATACCTATCACAACAATTATTTACACTGTTTTAAGTAGGGACGGTTATTTACCAGAAATCCTCTCTCTTTAAAATGGAAGTATGTCTGAATAGCATGAGTCATTAAGAAGGGTTTAAATTATATTTTCTACTCACAGTTGAAGAGACAGGAATGTAAGCGACAAGATTTTCAAAGTTTGATTTTCTTACAGTATATTATAAGCAAAATATTGTCATAAAATACACCAGGTAAATTCTCAGGCAAAACAAGGAACCAACAGAAGTAGAGCCCTTTCTGGGTCCAAACAACACAGTTACTGCAGTCCACAACGAAGAGAGAAAAAGTTCTGCCTAGGGGCTGGAGACCCTGTGTCTTCTGTGAGGAAGTCAGGGGCTGAGACCCCTTGCCCTCTGCAAGGAAGGCTGGGCTCTTTCTCCCCAGAATGCTTTGCTCAAGACTAGACTGCAGTCTAGCTCAGCTGGTTGGGTTGCCCTACTCAAGGGGCCAAGGGAGACTTCCCCTACCTGGGCAGGCCATCGCATCTACTAGAAACTACTCCACAGACATGGCCTCATCTTGGCCAACTGTTTGGAAAGGGCTTTCTAGTGATTTAAAGTCTGTCCCATGGATGATCTGTTATTATTCATGCCAGCCAAAAGGTGAGTGGCTGCTTAACTTCAAAAAAACCATACTTCAGGGAACCAGCACATGGCGTAATTTGGTCACATAGCTGGACTACCACATGGTCAATCGTGGTTCAAGTCCTGGAACTGGTGACTTGAAATTCACATCAGGTGTATGTATGTGTGCCAAAAATCCCAAGAGGAGAGAAGATTGTGATGTGGCGTGGCCAGGCGTCCTGTCCCCTCCCCCTGCTCCCAGGTGATTCCTCACTTCCTGTCTCCTTCTGTCTTTCCAGCAAGTACATGTGATCTATAACAAAAATCTCTCTTAAAAAAAAGGAGGGGGAGGCAGAAATGTACTACAAACTGGCAAACCCACAGACAGCCCATGGATCTGTTTCGATTGGCCTGCTCAGTCTAACCAGTATTTTTAAAAATCTGAAAATTTCATATTAACACTCAGATTTCTGATGTCCTTGGCAGGATCTGAAGCTCTGGTGTGACCAGGCCTTACCCCCACACAGAAGCAGCCAACTACCGCTGAGCAGAGGCTGCAGGGGCTCTTCGCTCCTCAAGGGCCCCCACTAGCAACCTCACTCTCATGCATATCGCAAACCTGGCCATCTAAGTCCGTTTCTATAAAATTGCAACTTCCAACTAAGGAAGAGTCTGAGGCCCCAAAGAGGGGCCCTGCTTTTCTAAAATAACATTAGAAGGAGCCTGTGTTCCTCTCCTGGACTGGGGTCCATGCTCATATATTCTTCTCCACCTCTTGGTTTTCTTGAGGAACAAATAAGGAAGACCACTCAGTGGTATGGTGCAACCTACCAGTCCACCTCCTGTGTGATAAGAACGAAGGTTTCTCCAAAGACAGAATGAAGTTCCTGCCAGTGATCCCAGCAGCTAGCTAGGCAGTACTGTAAGGAAGCAAGCAGGGTGGGCACATACTTAACTCCAAATATGGGCCAGCCAGTGGAATGGGGGTTATGACAGGCGG